GTGAGGTTCTTACCCACGAAAGCTTATGCTCCCAGTACTTCTGTTAGTCTCAAAGGTGCCACAGGACCCTCTGTTGCTTTTTACACCAGAAATGGTTACAGCTTCAAAGCACAAATAATACCCAACTCAAAAACCTTACAGACTAGGAAGTGGAGAACCATCCCGCCATCCTTCAGGATACAGACTTAAAGTTGTCTGGGTATCCCTTTGGGGACTGTGATGGACAACTGTGTATTTACTTGGAGTAAGGGATTATGTGTACTTGTGAGTGGGTGTGGGTGGATGGGAAAGTAATTTCTGGAGTTGTGTTTGGCTTTATTCTGTATTTCCTGGTCTCTGCAGTTTGCATTGGGCATTATTTGTCCTTAGCAAACCTGACTCTTAACCAAGATTTTGTATGCCCGGATTACTATTTAACCCAGTTCTATATGGCTCTGTCCAAATACCATAGAAGTCAAGCGGCCTGGGATCATGCTCTCGACCATTAATAACAGTTTTGCAAACTAAATCCTTTCCATGTGAATAGTCTGGGGAAAGTGAACAGAAAGGGTCAGTAAGACACGACAATTGAAAACCAACAGATGAAAGTTTTCCCAGTTCTTAATTAGCTCTGTACATTTGGTTCGAGGAAGTATTCCGAACAAGATGGCAACATTTTTTTTTAATTTATTCCCAACTCATCCTCCCATGTGAAGTTCCTCTGCAACAGTATATGGGGAACTCAGACAATACAATTGCCTGGCAGGCTGTTTGACATACAGGAATATCTTATCATAGGAGAGATGCATATGCTTCTGATAAAGGTACACGGTAGGTCACGTGGCTGTTGAAAGCTTGATAATGCCCACTGTACTGAAGTGTCACTTAAGCCTTCTGTGCAGAAGTGATTAGTTTATGCCGGGTACACAGTAATTTACTTCTCTAAGAAGGATGTATATAGCCAATGCCCAGGGAATTATTCTACCATTGGACATGCTGATTTTGCTGCTTATGAAGAAGCTATTATCTAACAATGAGCTTCTATTGCAATCTTCTCTCCTTCACTAGAATTTTTTAATCACATTCTTCAATCTCATTCAATTCATTATTTGCAGTTACAATTACTCTGTGTCTTGCTTTGGTTTCTAATAAAGCCTGGTACATATGCATTTTTGTGGGTATCACCAATAAACCATTAAATTAACACATATTGTTATCATACGGAAAACTCATGATTGGAGTTAACATGTACCCTCTTGTCTGAATACTGCATAGAAATGCAGTATTGTTGTAGCCGTGTTGGTCCCAGGATATTAGAGGGACAAGGTGGAGGAGGTAATATCTTTTGTTGGACCAACTTTTGTTGGTGAGAAAGACAAGCTTCTGCACTTACACAGAGCTCTTGTTCAGGTCCGGGGAACTTTTTCAGGCCATATCTACACTAGAGAGCTCATAGCGGCACACCTGAACTGATGCAGCTGCGCCGCTGTAAGATATTCCATGTAGCCGCTCTATGCCAATGGGAGAGAGGTCTCCTGTCAACATGATTAAACCACCCCAACGAGCGGCAGTAGCTATCCACACCAGCGCTTCGGTCAATCTGGTTTTTTCACATCTCTGAGCAAGGTAACTTATACTGACAAAAGTGCTAATGTAGACATAGCATCTCACAGCTAAATAGAAGGTGGAATGGGTTGTTTAACATAAGTAGTTAACACATATTTGAAGGGGCCATTCAAGGTGAAGCGGCCAGTTAACACCCCTCCAGCCCTAGGAAGGAAAGGGAGAGGAGCGGGGAAAGCAACTGGGCAGAGGGGTTGTTAATGGATTACAGATTGTTGTAATAAACCTGTAACCGACTAACTTCTCCCCCCACACACACACACAGCTGCTTCTCTCTCCTCCCCATGACTGGATTGGTATTAATGGGCCACTTCACCTTGAATGGTCCCTTGAAACTACTTATGCTAAACAATCTGTTCCACCTTGTATTTAGTGGTGACACTCTGGGTTAGTTCCCCAGACCTGAAGAAAAGAGTTCTGTGTAAGCTTGTCTCTCTCTCCAACAGAAGTCATATGCAATGTGGTTGTAGCCATGTTGGTCCCAGGATATCAGACAAACAAGATGGGTGAGGTAATATCTTTTATTGGGCCAAATTCTGTCGGTGAGAGACAAAGTTTGCCCACCTTGTCTTAGTGCATAAAAACGTATCTTGTTTGCTCTCTATTGCCATGAGCATGTTTCTGTGGGTCATAAAGGGCTGCATTTGCATCATCGACATGGAAGTAGTGGGAGTAGTTAAGCTGTTTCGTGTAATATGAGACCATTACCAACTCCATTTACAGCACTTTTGCACTTTCTCTGTACTGTTAACCTCAGAGGGGCCACTTCTTTTTCTTTCAGCAAAGCTGGCAAGAGTCTCTCTCAGTGGCATTCAGTTTAGTCTACTATTTCCATTTACACATAGAATCAAATGATTTACTTAAGGGATGCCAACATATTGTAGGAGTCTGCCACCTTTTACTCACACAGAGTAGTATATTACTCTGTCAACAGCCTTATTGGTTGCAATTGGACTACTCACGGAGTAAAATATTACTCAGCATGACTAAAGAGGGGGCGAATCTGGCTCTTAAAATGGAGCTTTGTAATATGTGTATTTATGATCAATTTGAGGAAATGTAAGTGCCCCATTTTTGCAAACTAAAAACCAACAGTTTGTCAACAGCTTTACCACAATCATTATTCAAGAAATTTGGCAGTTGGAACGTTTCATTCAAGTGCTACCTCTTTGTGGGTAGAAAGTAGAAAATTATTCAGTTTAAGATGGTAGAATTCACAGTATACAAAACGAACGCTATAAGAGAAAAGCAGGAAGGTAATTACAATCTTTGCAGCACAACACTATGTTCCTGTGTAGAGAACAGCTTTACCTAGTCTCAATCCACATAGATTTTCATTTAAATACAGTCCTTTGCTAATTCTACCACTCTGAAGTTTACTGCTGGGAGCATGACAAAGATGGTCTTTATGAACAGATGGTCTTTTCAAGGAAATCTAGTTACATTTAAATACAGACAAATGTACTGCACACTAATGGTCCTGTTAGAACGTAAGGTCTAAAAAAGGAAGAATGTGAGACCATACTATATGCTAGCCCTTAATTATGTAGGATTTTTTTCCTTCTAAAGACGAATTAATCACTAATGAAGCTTAATCAGTAGTAAACAGGTACCAGTGTACACTCACTCATGTACAAGCAGATGTGTATTGATTATATGTGACTCAGTACAAATTTGAGTGACTGTTGTTTAGGTGTTATTAGTACAGGGTGGGAAAATGCGTCTGTAACTCCTGCTTCCTTTTCCCTTCCATGACAAGTTGACAAATCTAGTTTGTCATGAACAGCTGCGTTCTAATTTAAAAAGGGCTGGATTACAACTAAGAAAGCAATTGGTGGCACCCTTTTGGTACCCAACATGCCATCTAGTAAGTCCAAATTTGATTCCGGGTGCAACTGGAGAGGTTTTTAATGGCGCTGCAATCCAAATGAGGAGCATATGCTTGATTCTCCCTTCTGTGAGTCACTCTGACATTGGTAAAGTTTTTGTGTGTGTGCAGAGATCCTAAATTTTCACACAAGCTGTATGGTCTGGCAGTAACGCCGACTGCAATGAAATACCTCTAGGGACATCAAAATCTGTTCCTTTACAAAAGAGCCCCTCTCTCTTTTATATTCCAGAAGGGTTCACCTATCAAGCCACACACCTAACTGCACAGAAGAACAAACAAAGGCTGACACTGTGTGATACCTCTGAGCCTCGGCTACCTTCACATTGCAGCAGAATATCTGTGGAATCGGAAGATGTCTCGGCTGACGAATAGAATCAGGTCAGAGCAGACAGGCAGAGAAACTTAGAAATTAGGAATGAGGGTGAAATCTTCACTTGAACACCAGACTACCTTTTATTAATTCAAATGTTTCCCTCAGAAAGATTCCATGGCACTGTTAGCTAAAGTTCATAGTAATGCTGTTCAATCCTCAGCAAACTGAAGCCCATTTTAAAGTAGCCAGCTCTACAAATAACATACCGGAAAATGAAGGGAGAGAAAGAGCTTTCCACTCCCAGACCCACGGCAGGGGTAAAATTTGTATTAAAAACTTTTGAACCCAAGCAGCCAAAGGTGTATTGTTCTTCAGTGTCTAATGAGAGCAGGAAGTCCCCAACCTTTCACCTCCCAGGAATATACCCTGGTACACCCTTTCCAACAGGCTCCCCTGCAGAAATGAGCAAAATCCATGAGAACCACTGATGGCCAGGATGAACCCCTGGTGGCATTCAGGGCAGAAGGCAGCAGAACAAAGGAGATGCCACTGTGCATGTGGATCAAAGCTTGGTGTCGTATTACCTGCCTGTGGATCCCCTCTGCTCCAGGGCTACCATTGTGCCAACTGCACAGAGACCCAGCCAATGGCACCATGTAATTCCTGCTGGAATCATGTGGCCAGAGGGGATGGGGTCTGGGGCTGTCCCTCCAAGACAACTCACAGCCTTGTGGTGATCTAGTAACCTCACATAGGAAGGAGCTCAGGGTCCACAAGCTACAACCGCCTAGCAGAGGGAGCAGGTCCAGGAGATCCTACAAGATAAACCTTACTGAATGTTTTGTTCCCTTCCCATTGGCTTTTTGAAGAGGAGGGGGGAAGCTTGGGAAGAAACAGAGGGAGGCCTTGTGGTGAAGGCACTGGACTATCACTTTAGTTCCCAGCTCTACCACAGACTTCCTCTGTGACCTTGGGCAAGCCCAGTAATCTCTCTCTGCCAAAGAGGATAACGATGCTGCCTTTGTCCGCCTTGTCTAGTTAGGCCCAGTCCTACACTGAGTACTGCAGAGATATACCCTTCACTCAAGTAGTTCACAATGCAAGATCAGGGCATTCGATTGCAAGCCATCTGGAGCCAACTTCTATACAGCAGCTGCCACAAAGGGGCTGCTCGCCGTTGCTTCTGTAATCTAGATATTAATAACAAATCCAGGGTGTATTTGAAGATAACAGTGATTTTAACAGGGATTAGAATTTCCCATTAGTTACAGTATTTATTTTTCCAGTCATTTAACGGATAGTGACACACGCATTTTAACGGGTCCTGGGGAGCATGAAAATATAACAGAAATTAATGGATAGGAAGCATCTCCAGCCAGAAAACTGGTGATTCCTTTATCAAATAAAAAAGGAAAAGCTAGAAGATATGTAGCAACACACACACATGCATCTAAGACAGGAGAAAGCCCGGAAAGTCAATTCTTCTGTCAATTTCTTCAACGGGCCTTCTCCCACTCTCCCAACTTGCCCCATCCCTTTCTGGAATCGAACGGTCTCGGCTGGAGAACAGTAGCACCACCCTTTCTTAATATGCTGAAACTTTTAGACTCTCACCTCTCCACCCTACTGAGCTGAATTGGATCGCATAACTAGAATTATGACTTGCCAAAATATGTAGCTATATCGAGTTCATGCCAAAAAAATTTTGTAGATGAAGCCACAGGAACTGTAACGTGTATGATAAAATAGGGAGACATATTTAATGCCAGTTTAAATATTAATTCTTATCCTCTTTCCTCTGACTGATATTTCACTTGCAAAGGCTTCAAGTTGTTGGACCAAATTCTGATCTGACCTTCTGGAAAGAGTGGTGAAAATCCAGAAGCCAATGGATTTAGTCTGGATTTACTCAGGTGTGCCTGAGAGCATAATGTGGCCAATTGCCTCATTCCCCATATATTTTTGGTCTTGAACACCACAGAAATTGCTTAACTGCATGTTGGAGACAAGGTGGGCGAGGGAATATATATTTTTGGACCAATACACTTGAAACAGGAGGTTAGCTACGCTGTGCACACAGGCAGTCTGTGCAAAAACATGTTCATCACATTGACACCTCCACCTACCTAACCGCCCCACAACAATAAATAAATGAAGAAACAAATCAACTTGCACAGAGAAACAAAACAGACCCAAGCAGAGTTCATACCCTGGAAAAAGAGGAGAGCCAGAAACTCCATGAAGACCAGCATGAACCTTGCTGTTGCTATTGATTTTAGGTGCTCAGTTACTACAGCGAGGGAAGGGCAGTATAAAACCCTAACATAGACAGACAGATCATTGCTACCTCATCCTTTCCTTCCCCTACTCACCCGTTTATCTGTCTCCTCCATACGTAGTAGCTTTTCCTTCACTTAGGTCCCAAAGCCTCAGTGCCTCCATCCACATGGAGCTCAGGGTCTCAGAATGTTGCCATCGGAGTCCCAGGGAGCTACCTGCGCCAAGGAGCTTGGAGACCCCAATGTCCTATGGACTGCAGCTTCAGGAAGCCTGGTAAGAAGTGGGCCAGGGAGGGGGAGTGAGTGGTATCTCCCACCCGTGTACGGTCACCGTGTTGCAGTTAGATTCCCTGCTGACTCAGTGGCGGACCATTCCTGGGTTGGGACTCAGTGGAGTCGGGTGGGCCCGGGTCCCTCTACCGCAGCCACCATCCTGTCTGGTGGCAGCCCTGGATCTGGCCAGTAGGCAACACAGCCCTGCACTAGCGAGCCACTGTATTGACTCTGGCTGCTAGGCCACACTGCCCTGCACTCAAGTACTACTGTATTGACTCTGACCATTGGACCTCATCATGGTGAGGCCCAAGACAGTCTGGTAGACTGTAACCACAGTGTCTGCACACCCACTATCCACCCTGACAGGAGACAGGGTGTGCATACACCGCCGCACCATCTCTTATTTCTTGTTTTACGCATTTTCAATAGAGCCCATCCACTTGAAAAATCTTTGTCTGAAATGTTCTACCCACTAGAGTTACAAGTAACCCCAATGGCTACTATAGCTGAGAGAAGGTGTCTGATAAATATTTTTTGCTAATTTTATTTATTTACTCTGTGTGTCTGACAGATGCAGAGACACGCTGGGCTTGTCTACACTACCGCGTAAGTCAATGTAAGTTACATCACTCAGGGGGTTGGAAAAACCATTCCCCTGAGCAACATAACTTAGGCCTGGTCTACA